ACGCCGGCGTCGTGGGCGCCAGCTCTCGCAGGTGGTGGGCCCTGAGCACGGGGCTCTGGGCCCTCTCCCTGCTGCTGGGCGCCGTACGGTAAGGCTGGCCGGCCCCGCCGCGGGGGAGCGAGTGCTGCGCTCTCACCTGTAATCAGGCTGAAACAGTGGCGCCGTTGCAGCTGCAGAGAGGTGTTCTTCCGTTCGTCACGGGGAGAAGGCTAACGCTAGCGAATAAACTCCCTTCAGAAGAGAACTCTGAAGGGAAGACGAAGGAGGGAACTCCTGGAGAAGAGATAACTCTGAGTTGTCTTGTTTTCAGATCCTTGAGAATTTTGTTCCAATTAAGAAGAAAGCTGAGGCAGCACAAGGGGTATGATTTCTATCCTTTGCTGTGGAGCTGTTTTAACCCAAATATTTCTCGCTCAAAATAACCCACCTAGGGGCTGTCACTAATTATTATTGTACTATGGTCCATTACTAATAGTATTATTTTTATTTCCAACAGTAAATCTTCGCCTCTGAGTCAAAAGAAAATGAAAGCGCAAGTGAAGGCTGAAGTTCTGAGCATCATTAGTAGTTTGGCAGATCTCTGCAATGCCATCAATTGGCTGCCTCCAGGATTTCTGTGGGCTGAACAGTTCCCCCCATGGTTAGTAGGTCTCTTTGGGACCATATCTTCCCTGATTGGTATCTACCAGGCATCTGCAGGGGGAAATTCTGGGGCTGTGTGAACCACAGTTAAGCTTCAGGAACCCATCCTTACATGGAAAAAGGGCACGTCATGTAAGCAGGGTATGTTTTAATTTTTCTAGGTGTTGATGAGTGTAGCTCCATGCACCCTGTAATTGAGACTGGGATCAAGATGCCTCTTACAGAGAGGATTCATTAGGGTTTAAAATAGTTCTTACGGCTCCTTGTCACAGTAAGGCCATTGAGGAGAAGATTAAGCAATTTTATAGGATAGGATGGATAAAATAGGGGAAAATGAAGCTGTGTTAGGTGGAGATGTGGCCACAGTTCTGTTATACAAAACTGCTGAGGGAGAGATTCTGTGAGCTTAAGCTCCAAGCTCAGCAGTTGATGCCTCATCTGAAACTGGCAGGTGACCTGTATCGTGGAAGTTTCTCTATCAGATACGTTGGTCTTTGAGCCCAGACCAGCTGCCCTAACTGCAAACAGCAGCAAGTGACCAAGGGATGTTGTTGGGCGGTGGGTTGTTTTATTTGTGACGGTTCTGTTTCCTTAGAGGTGATGTGAGAAAGAAACAGCAACTGTAAACAACTTCTTGCTAAGCTCCCTTCTGGTCAGTATTACTCATGTAAGGAGCAATAATAGATGTTGAGACTTCTAGGTTAAACCAGAACAAGCAAAAGTGCACTGAACCTCTAGATGTGCCTTAACGGAAGGCCACGGGGTGGAGCTCTTCCACCAGTCTCTGGCAGAGCCAATGGACTTTTTTAAAAAGAAGCAAGTATATTAATCACCTTTCAAGGGACCAATCAAACAGATGCAGAGATGCAGTTTACAGTCATAATCTAAGCTGTGCCAATAATAAATGAGATGAATGTTTCAAAGGTGGCCTTGAGTGATCCTTACTACTGATAACTGGATACATGCTCTTTATCTGGCTGGGGAAAGTTCCAAACGGTTCCCAGGCAACAAAAAACATTTGTGCTGTGTTAGCTAAACCTGCCCTAGGGGTAGGCAAAGACCATCTGTTATCCAGACTTCTTTCTAGCAGGATAATTCAGAGCACCTGACTACTTTGATGTTCTTGGAGATGCATCTTTTGAAACAGTTCTGCTTAGCCTGAGCAGTGCTTGTGTTCCATGCAACTTAGTAATGGCCATGCTCCTGTTCCGGGATGGTTTACTCTTCCTTTTTTGGAAAGGACATAGGGAATGGTTTCCTACCTCTATCCAAAGAGCACAGCGAGGCCCCGATACTCTTTATCTTTTGCCTTGTTCTTGCTTCCCTGCTTGGCTGTTTGTCTGGACCTTCACCCTGCTAAATGCCAAGTCTGCCACAGGGGACACCTTAATGGCATTGCCTAGAAGTTAGTGTCATGGATTGGTAGGGCATCTGTTTGGAGTACAACCCAGAGCACAGGCAGGTAGCATCTGGAAAAGACTTTAGGTTGCACTCTAGTCACAGTGCAAGTCTTGTCTTCCAAATAGGTGGAAGACCCAGGTACCGCTTTTTATGGACAGTTGTGTCTGGCCCATTCTGTCCTTTTAAAACACCTGGGCAAACCTCTGGTGCAGAAGTAAAACTCTTAAACCATACCTTTAATTTTAATGTAGAGAAAGCACGCTGTAAACTGCTTTAAGTGTATTAAGCACTTTTCTTACCAACAAATTTTAAATCACAGCACATAAAGCACAGGCACATGCAGCAGTCTTCAAATCAGCAGTTTTGGCCCCAAATGACACATACTGTTCAGGCACCTATAGGTGGCTGCTGCTGGCTGCTGAGCCTGCCCCCAGCAGCCCTGGCTGCAGCTGACTTGCTGGTTTTGTGCACGAGTTCTTGGGAAGACTGAACTGAGCTACCAGGAACCTGCCAGTTTGCTTTTCTGCTGCAGCCACCAGCCCTTGTGCCGACATAGCTCTTGTCGTGCCCCGCGCAGGAAACCATGTGCTGAGCAGGGCCGGTTTGGTCTGGCCCTGACCTCCCTTCGCTAGGGTGCGGGGCGCTGCCGGCGCA